CTTTCCCTATACCCCAAATACCTTACCCTACTTTTATCTTCCATCCAAACCCTATTCCTTCATGGGTCTCCTAGGTTACCATTTATTCCATTATGTGATTCTGGACCAATTTATAATCTGTTTTCATCTTCTCTACTGAATTTCTATAGCATATATGCTCTATACAACTTATTTTCCACTTACCTACATACTGTCAGATTTTGTTGGTTAACCAATTCCCTTTGAGTTTTGTCTCCCTAACAGGTACAAGGACTATGCCTACTACTATTTTCTTTTTGACAGTACACAGCACAGGACTTTATATTTTTACCTTTTTTAATAATGTTTACTTTCTAACCTAGTTCTAAGACCATATTCTTCAGTTAGTCATTTCTTGGAACTGCTTTAATCCTGTATTATTAAAATCTTTCTCTCAGACAATCATATTAAAGCCATTGTGAATAGCTATTTTTAACAGCTTTCCTTTCACTCTCTCATTCCCCTAAAAGTGCTTTTGGCCTTACTAAGGCCTCCAGTATTTTGATTGTTCCTGAATTTTCCTTCTCCCAGTCTCTAAGGCCCTTCTTTGTTTTACTACCTTGTTTTTTCAGCTTGTACCTTATCCTCTAAATTTTAAAAGTACATAGGAATACAGACAATAATATAGTAAATATTCATGTAATCATTACCAAAAATAACAAATATGAACATTTGTTCATGTTTGCTTCAGCTATTTGTTTATTATTGAAAAAACAGTACAGATATTGTTGAGGTTGCCTGTATTTCCATTCCTAATCCTGTTCCCCTCCCTGCCTCACTAAGCAATCACTATCATGAACAGTGTGTTATCTGGTTCATGCTTTTTAAAATTGTTATATTTGAAAAAAAATTTTTAATTGTAAAGTACACATAACATGAAATTTACCATTTTAACCATTTAAAAATATACAATACAGTATTATTAACTGTAGTTATTGTGGTATACATTACATACCTGGGACTTAATTTATAAATAATGTTATTTTATTTAATCATTTTTAAGTATATCTTTAAGTGACATTAAGTATTGATATATTTTCACTGTTGTGCTGCTATCATCACCATTATCCATCTCTAGAACTCTTTGCATCTTGCATAACTGCAACTCTATATCCTTAAACAGTAACTCCCTATTCTCTGTTCCCTCCAGCCCCTGGCAACCACCGTTCTGCTTTCTACCTCTGAATCTGACTCCCCTCAGTGAATCATACAGTGTTTGTCCTTTTGTGGCTGGCTTATTTCACTTGGCATAATGTCCTCGAGGTTAATCCATGTTGTAGCATGGGTCAGGATTTCCTTCCTTTTTAAGGCTTTAAGGCTGAATAATATTCCATTGTATGTTTTTATAGCACATTTTGTTTACCCATTAATGTGTTGATGGAAAGATTTGTTGCTTCTGTCTTTGGCTGTTGTGAATAATGCTGCTATGAACATGGACGTGCAAATAACCTGTTCTAGTCCCTGGTTTCAGTTCTTTTGAGTGTATACTCAGAAGTAGAGTTGCTAGATCATATGATAATTCTACTTTAATTTTCTGAGCGACAGCATACTGTTTTCCATAGGGGCTGCACCATATTGCACTCCCACCAACAGTACACAGGAGTTCTAATTTCTCTGCATCCACACCAACACCTGTTATGTTCTGTTTTGTTTTTTAAAATAGTAACCATCCTAATGTATGTGATGTGTTTTTCCCCCACTTGCTTTTAATATTTCCAGTGTCATTTTTCAGGATTAAAAAAAATGCTTCAATCTGTTTCTGAAATTTCTACTATGTTCCACTGGTCTGTTTGTCTATCCCTGAATCAGTATAGCACTGTGTTAATTACTGTACCTTTGTAACAATCTAGTTGTCTCTAGTATGGCAAGTCTTTTTCAAAATTTAATATAAATGTTGGAATTAGTCAAGTTCTGTGAGAAATACTGTTGGTTAGTTATTAGAATTATATTTATAGATTAATTGTTGGAGACTTGATATCCTAATAATAGTGAATGTTCCTATCCATGAATAAGATATAACATGTCACTTATTTTGGTCTTCTTTCATTTTTTGGTAGTTTTCCTCATAAATATAATATATTTACAGTTGGCCCTTGAACAACACAGGGGTTAGGAGCACTGACCCCATGCAGTCGAAAATCGACACATAACTTTACAGTTGGCCCTCTATATTTGCAGTTCTGCATCTGTGGATTCAACCAAACATGGATCATGTAGTACTATAATATACATTTACTGAAAAAAATCCACGTATAAGTGAACCCCTGCAGTTCAAACCTGTGTTGTTCAAGGGTCAATTGTATTACTTTTCATAATGTAATATATTTTGTAATTTTCCTCGTAAGTGTATTTTGTAATTTTCCTCACAAATGGTCTGTTCATTTATACAGTGCTTAGGAATAAATTTAACAAATAAGGAATTTGCAGGGTTGGGGGATTTTGGTTATCAGTTCAATTCTTTTCAGTTTCCCTGTTGAATATGTTTTCGTAATTCACATTTTTGTTGAAATTTACCACTAAAATTTTCAAATGTATTGGCATACTTTTTTTCTCATAGTAGTCTCATGGCTTTAAAATCTTTATCTTGGTTATTCCCCATGTAAAATCTTTATATTATTTGGTTTCGTTCCTTGTGATCATTTTTGCCCAAGTTGTGTCTATTAGTCTCTTCAAAGAATCAACTTTTGATTTTGTTGGTCACCTCTACTGATTTTGTTTTTCTACTTTTGCTAAAGTTTTTTCTTCATTATATGCCTCATTCTGCTTTCTTTGGGTTTACTTTATTGTTTTTTTCCCTAACTTCTTGATTTGTACTTTCAAAGCACTATTTTCAGTCATTTTAAGATAAACATTTTAACCATAATTTCTCCCTTTAAGTATAACTTTGCTGTATCCAATGTGTATCTTGATATTGTAGTACTTTCATTGTAATCTAGTTCTAAATATATCATCATTCCCACATTAATTTTATTAGAGTCAACTTCTGTTTCATATAGATGTTCCAAGATTTTTATCTGATTTATTGATGGATTATTTATTGCAGAACTTGAATGGAAGCTAGCAGAAGTTGGAGCAATACAGACTGATTTGGAAGAAAACCCCAAAAAAGTCATTGTAGATGTGATGGTATCTTCAATTAGAAACACTTCTATTTGTGATGACACTAATAGCTCAAACAGTGATAATGATGATACCAAATAGAAATACTTAATAAATAGCTTTAAAGTGTTTATATATGGAATATTTTATTTGCCACTGCCTTTATAATCAAAGATCAGAAAATTCATAAATAAATTTCTTTTCTTTTTTATATTAGAATTATAGCTTATATGTCATTATAAAAACTTTCAGGTATTTTAGAATATTCATTGCCTCCAACAAAACTAGAATTTGTACTGAACCCTTAATATTTGTTTGTGATTTATCTTTTTTTGGATCCTTATTGGACAAAAACAAAAATATTACAAGTCCTCTGTGTTGCCTGCTCACTTCCAAAGAGGCCTGTGGATAAAAATGATGAAAGAGAACCATGAAATTTCATTTAATTTACTTCAATCAATATTAAAGTCTATTATTTAGGGGCTTTGAATGAACATACTTAATGACCATACGACTTTTCTTCGAAATCTCTTACCTATTAAAAAAAATTAACCAATCAATAGAAAAAATGCAATTTAAAGATTCTGAAAAGTACACAAGAAACTTCTCCACTCATTATTGTAGTTTTTAATAGTTGTTCTATTATTAAGTTAGAAAATATTGATTTACTAAGTATACTCACAGTTAGGCAACAGAATCAGAACTGTATGACATTGTAAGTCATACAATGTAAGTTTCTAAATCATGAAGAGAAGTGAGAAAAATATATTGTGAGGCTTACTTATGTTTTAATAGTAATCACAGAAGAATTCATCATGAGAAAATATGTAATACGAAGACACTGAAGAAGACCTGCAGGATGTTTTATCTTGGCTTAATAATTAACACCACTTTTAGAGAAAATGGTGTTAAATCCAGCATGTAATAATAGTTCAATAACAGATTTTATTCTTCTACTGTTTTGTATTGATGACCCATCATTCTGATTATGGATATTCACTGATGTCTGTGAGAGAATCTAGACTTTAAATGATTAGATTACAAAAATAAATCGGTGAGAATTGAGGCAGTTTAACACGGAATCAGAAAAGGCTCTTTGCTCTTCTTGGGGGTGACTTGGGATCACAGAGGCTACAGAGAATGATGAAGTAGAAGGAAAGTTAAATACAGATTGAGTAAGGTAATGATAATTTATTTCACCAGAAAAGGTAAAATCAAATGATCTAACTTTGGAAAGAATCAGGAAGACCCCTTCTGAGATAGCGAAGAAAGGTTTTGAAAATATACATATTGGGATGAAGGGAGGGAAAGTTGGGAGTTGCACACAGTGGTCTTTATTATAGCTTTATGCACACATATCAGAGACATAATTACCTATAAGATCCAACTCCTGAAATTCTCTAACAAATGGATGGAAAAGTTCCTACTGAGGATAAAACAGTTGTGGAAATTAAGGGAAAAGCCATATTATCATAAAGTTAAAATGTAACTTTGGTGCCACCTAATACATATAAGTATAAACATTATTTCCCTTCCAATTGAAACTTCCAAATGCAAAAGGTTCCCCTAAATGTAATCTTGTTTTAGTAAATCCATATTTGCCTATTTCCTTTTTTAAGTTAAAATTAACAGAGGAAGTACTAAAAGTATTTAAGAATAAAAAGACCCATATTTCTTTTAACTCTTAAATCCACCAGGTGGCAGTAGTTTTTACATACAAGCATAGTTCATGAAAACTTATTTAACATTTGTAAAATTCATAAAATTGTAGCATGTTAGAGGTGGCTGGTTTTGATTCCAGCCTCAGCCTTTTTCAAGTAACGCACACACACACACCAATACATTCTCGTGCTTTTGCCAATACAGGTCAGTACTATTTCATACCCTGCTTCATTTATACATTCTCACTTAAGTAGGGTATAAATAATTGTTAGAATGTGGGGGAATTATTTAATATTTAATATTGTGTTTCCCATTTTATTGAATGAATTTTTATTTGCTTGGATACAAACTTAAAAGGTTTTTTGAAATTGCCAATATTCAAACATGTTGACCTACAAAAGTGGATATTTCATGTAGCCAACCTAATATTTTTCTCTATTCCTTGCTGCCAGCCATGCTCTATTGAAACTCCCTTCCCTACTTCATAGTGTCTCTTATTGGTCAAAGTATGGTCCTAGAATCAGCAGCAGCCCCAGGGAGCTTGTTAGAAATGCAATCTCTGGCCCCATCCCAGACTAGCTGAATTGGAATTTTTGTGTTAATGAGATCCTCAGTTGATTAAGCTGCACTAGTTAGCAAGTCCCCTAAAGACATCTTGAACATATTCTTTAACTCTTCTCTCACACTTTTGGTTATGAAAAGTCTGTCTGGTTTAAAACTCCAATCTCAGGTCCCAGGCAAGTGTTCTCTGGCTGAACTTGTGACTCAGGAACTCTGAAGATGGAAGGTGGAGTTTGTTCTTAGCCAATTACTTCCCTCTCTTTTCAAGGTCCATTCTCTGCGGTTTGGGGACTGGGAGGGAGATTAAGGAAGAAAGGGATAAATTTATCTTAACTGGGTAAATACAATCCATATTGCATCAAAATGTTCACTCTTTAATGGGCACATTGAGTTCTAGAAACTCAGAGGCAGCCTCTCCACTGCATGCTTCCTTGATATGGGCAATCAGTTCTTTCTGCAGCTCTTTCTCTTTTGATCGCTCTCAGTTCCCACTCCCAGAAGTATACCAGCCTCTTGCTGCTAGAATTTCTTTTCCCCTTAGGTGTCAAGGTGTTTCAAACCCAGAGGGCACTTTCTCAGCAGCATTGATGGACCCTGTAGAAATTTACATATCCTTGCCATGCCAAATTGTAGGAGTTACGTTATTCCAGCCCACTTCCTGGCTAGCTGTTTCTCTCCAAGTCTCTATCCTCCTGTTCATGTAGTTGGATGCGGAGCATATCAACAGTCTGCAAGAGATGAGATGCCAGTCTCTTCTTACAGTCACTGCAGTTTCTCTAGCTGATTCTGTTGGAGACTTGTTCACTTAACTTAGAGTGGGGTGGGGAATAAATGAGAAATGAAAAGCCACAGTGCTCTCCAGGAACCTTGTAAGACATGGCTCCAATGATTCTCTCATCCTCTTCTTCTCATGTGTTCTGCTTATAGGCCTGAAAGTGGGAGTGGGAGGTTTTGACCATGTTAGGTCCAGTTTTGTCCAGCTTGTAGTCTTGGCTGAAGGAGTAAGTATCTGGGTCCAAATGTAAGCAGCTATTTAGAGGGTGAGTACTTCATGTTCTTTGTTGCCTATTTTGGACCTCATTCAGCAGCCTCTCATACAGGTGTTAGCTGTGTCTATTACAGTGTTATATATTCTTGTGGGTCCTCAAATACTCAATTACTAACACAGTACTAGTGTTTCACTAACTGTTTTCAGTTTACCTCTCCTTTGTACTTTAATACACATTGCTAAGTTTACCTCCTGACAAGACTATAATCTGCCTACAGTCATAATTTGGAATATAAGAATGATCCTAAAAATCTTCTAGCATGTTTTAACTTTCATCTCATTCATTCATTCAATCATTCATTTAACTCAAGCATTGAAATGGATGCTGCATGTACAGTGCAAGAAAACACATGGTTCTTGCCTCCTGGAATTTACCATGTAGTGGTGACAAGGGGAAGCTAGTTAGTAGATAAGAAAACAAATATCAAAAAAAGTGCAGTAATAGAGAATAACTGTGGGTACTATGTGTGGGGGGCAGGTGAGAGGTAGGAGGGAGACCTCTTAAATAGGGTAGTTAGATCTTTGAGACGTGAAGATTGAGGAGGAACCAGCCAGGAGAAAAGGTAGGAGGGTGGTCCAGGCAAGAGCACAGCGTATACCAAAGTCTGAGAATACAGAGAGATTAGCAAGGAACTGGAAGTGTTACAGGAAAAGAAGAAAATGGTAGGACATGAGGTTGGAGAGGTAGCAGGGGCTAGATCAAAGAGGTTATTATGGCCACAATTAGGAATTTGGATATAATGGGAAACAATAAGGATTTTAAGTAGGAACATGTGATTTTATTTATATTTTTAAAAGAATATTCTTGCTGCTCTGTGGAGAACAGATTGAAGGGAGCATCTAAGATATTTGAGATAGTCAAGAGGAGACATCAGATAGACAATTGGATATGTGTTTGGAACCCAAAGGAGAGGTGTAGGCTGGAGTTGCAAATCTATGAGTTGTTTCAATCATTCCTAGGGTTTCAACAACAAATCATAAAAATCTAAAACCACCCATCCTTATCACCTAACCTTTCTGCAGTAGTTTGTAATTTACACTTGATCATCACAATTCTGAGATGCTTTTCTTCTCACTTTACAGATAAATACCCTGATGCTCAGAGAAATTACTTAACTTGCTCAGTGTCTCTTAGTAAGTATTAGGATTTAAGCCTAGACTTTTGATTACAGTCTGTAATACCACTTCATATTATTGACTGCCCTCTATTTTAAAGGATCTAGAAAGAATAAGAGTAATTGATTAAACCATGAAGGATTCTTAAAAAAAAAAACAAAAAAAAACCCTAACAGTATTTTCCCTATTATGCATATCAAACTTCCCATGTTCCAATTCACCTTAAACTCTAGTGGTAAAACTAGGAATGTCAAGGAAAGGATGGATGAGAGAGGTATTATGAAAGAACAGAAAGGACATAAGGACACAGGGAACTAGGGGAAGAAATTGAGCAAGAGATGTAAGACCTACACAAAAAGGAACATCATTAATAATACCCAGTATGGGATTTCTTATGTACCAGGTAGTACAATACACACACACACACACACACACAAACACACACACACACTATCTATATTCTATATCTTCTCTCAATTATCCTATGAGACAGGATTATTATCCTTTATTTACAGATGAGGAAAGTGAAGAACAGAGAAACAACTTACTCAGAGTCATGCAGATATTAAGTAGTGGGGCTGGAATAAATCCTGGCCTTTAATTCCCAATTTTGTACTCTTAGCCACTAAGCTATATTGCCTCCATCAAGACATCAACTGTGGAGATCAGTTGGGAAGGGAGTTGGAAATGCTCAGTTTAAATTATAGCAAGGTGGACAAGAAGAAATGAATAATATTTGAATTACATAAATTGTGTTTAAGGAGAGGATTTAGGCTGGGGGACAATTTAGGGTCTATGAAACTAGGAGGCAGGATTTTTCTTTTAGGGAAAAGTGGAGTCTGGCAGTTGGAAATGTGATTAAAAATATCTGATACAGTTTTCATCTTGGAGAGAATATGGGCAGAAAGATAAGTTGTGAACTGAGCCACGGGAAATGTCTGAGTGGTGTCAGAGGACTGAGCAGAAAAACGGGATTATCAACAGGTCTTGGTAAATGATTAAATACATAAAGAGAGGAAGGAGTCAAAGATGAACA